TTATAAACATATAAAGTCAAAAACATATAAGGATATAAGGTCAAAAATAAGTACGTAAAATATGATAGTGTCAAAATAGATATGTACTAACATATAGGTCGAAAACTCGTGCTTAACTTAAAACTGAAAACAGAAATACTTCCCCCAACACATTTGTAACGTAGAAAAGATAAATGTATTATAGGGTAGTTCAATGAAAATCAAAACTGAAAATGAAAGTGGGTCTCGCCCAAGCATACATAATGTCACGTACTCCGAGAGAAGGTGTGTCTTTGGGTCGAGCCCCAACAATAACAAATTCGTAACAACTGCTGAAGACTGGTCTTCCTGCCTACTTGCTTAACGAACCCAACGAATAAGTTATTGATACCACAGTCGGCTGCCCGTGATATCGATCACACATTTGTTGTCTCGATAAGCAAGCAGTAATTTCTTGAGGGTGCACAATTTCACACGTCGTAAATTTGATCCTCCGAATACCAATTCACAATACTCCTCTGTCAACTAGCATTGCATGTAGATACTTTTGTACCATATTACAAAAATTGTCATACCCAAACCGAACAAAACAATGTAAATAGTGGACCCAAAAACTCTAGCCAAGCAAGCAGAAAACAAGAAGTCGGCTTCCTTAACAAGCAATATCTCTTGGGAGTTGTTGAAGTGCTCAATCCACCTCTCCAATTTTGCTTAGTTGCAGATTTCTAGTCAAACAAGGTCAATGTTGGTGGAAAGAAGAAGGACTCGCAAGTGATCAATCTAAAAACCCCATAAGAGCACACACCTTTCGAGAGAAGTGCAACTTCTAAATGTGATAAAGCCACAATACAAGTGAACACAATGCGTCTTCCAAGGTCTAGATAGTTCATTCAGATACCAAACTCAGAACTTAAGATGAAATCTAAACTTGGTAAATGCCTATCAAATGTGTGTTAGGGTTGGGTGGAAGATACCCTTAAAATATTTGGGCAAATGAACTTATTTACATATTGTTAGAAAAGAACTACTAGTGTACGATATGATGTTGATGACTTGCAGCTGGATATTGAGTGGTGACCATTCAATTCAGCGTGAAGATAGTGATGCTGCTAATCACATGCACTACAATATTCACCAGTCTCTTACCGGCTTAAACCTCACGCCCATGTGGAACTCTTTCTGGTAAGTTTGATAGCTTGTGGAAAGGTTATGCTCCTAATGTTCATGTCCGAATCGATAAGAATTGGGTGCACACTTCCGCAAAATCGATCGATCGTGAATTCCTCACTGATTGAGCGAGCAACCATGTCGAGAAGGCTGAAAGAACACTCAAGAATTTAAGGGTCAAAATAAGTCATTAAATCTAGAGTACAAGATATCTGGTTTAAGTGAGAAGCTATACCAAGAACAAACGTTTATTTTATTTTATTTTAATTTTTAATTTTTAATTTTTTTAATTTTTTTTACATTCTCAATGTAATGTTCCGGCATGATCCAGTTTACATTGAGAAATAAACAAGCGAAGGAAGGTGAAGATGCAGAAACAAAAGTCACTGTTTATGATTATTTGGTTAATCATCGTAGTATAATAGTTAAAAACTGTTAATAAGATTTGACGAGGCCAAAGACATTTCGTAATTCAAAACACTTTGTGAGAGCTGTTTCAAAGTTCAAAAATTAAACATAGCACCTCTGAATCAATAGAATGACGAAAAAGAAAGATACGAAGCCACATGCGTATGCATGCAGTGACCCAATTGGCTACCTTAAAGTGATGCTCTTGAGCAAACCAAAGCTCAATGAGTCTAGAGAAGTTCAGAGCAAAACTCGATCTTTGTACAATGATGAATATGGTGGAATCTCAAGCCATTACACTAAAAATTACAAGGACGAACAGTTAGAGGACTAGAGCACTGGTCAATTGGGCTACAAGCAAGAGGCTTAGTTCACCTCTACCAAAAAGTACGTGGATATACCGCCGAGTACCAGACCTAGGTAAAGTTCAAGGAGTTTGTTTATCCAAACAAGACTGGATCTTCATCATCCAAGTCCAACTATGACAAGAACAAGCATCGCATCTCCTTTTGGACATTGGTGAGAATAGCATCTACTACCGAGGAGTTTCCAAAGAAAAGTATTTAATGTAAACAAAGTCAACTCTCGAAGAATTTGGTGTGAAGCTGACGGTCAAAGGTCAGTGAACTTGACTTTGTGGTTTGAGTAAGCAAGAAAGTTATCGATAGAACAATCGCTGAGAATTGCTCTAAAGATTCACACGAATTTCCTCAGCAGGAACAGGTTCGAGAACATTGATTCGATCCCACCAACTACAACTTACTAAATGTCAAAACAACTAGCGCTTACTCGCTTTCTCCAACACGCAGTTCAAATGTTTCGAGTAGTTTCCATAGAGATATGACTCTGCCCACCATTTCTAGGGAACGCATGTCGCAGAATACAACACCGCTTTAGATCTCCAGTTGGTTTTAACCAACTTGTACCACAGATTTTTTTTTCCATTTCCAACAAAGATTTTTTTTCCATTTTCCAACACTCCTGTGTAGATCCAACTCCGCCCGCAATTCCAAGGGAATGCATGTTGCAGAGTATCGATCCGATGTTGGAAGTCATTCAACAACCTATTTCGTCGTCAAGGGTTTTCTGTGCTCCCGTGCTTCACCGAGCTTCACTGAGAGGCGATGGAGAGTGAGAGGGAGACGATAAGAGTGGTGGTGATGATGCGTCGTCGTCGGGGGGGGGGGTTCGATTGGGTCTCGGGTGTGCGTGGGTGGCGTGGGTTCGATCAGGAAATGAGAGTCCAAGAAAGAGAGTTAAAGAGATAGAAGAGTGAGCTGAGAGAGAGAAAGAGAGAGAGTTAATCATGGTGGTGCTGCCGTCGTTATCGCCGTGTGGGTGATTACATGGGTGTGTGGATGTGTAATCTACCCTTAGGGAGGGTTGGGTGCGGCAATAGGAAGAAGGAGAGAACTGTGAGGGAGAGAGAGATGAGGTTACGGGGAGAGAAGAAAGGAGAGAGGGCGGGGAACAAAACTCATAAGGTGGGCCACACGTGGCTCACCAATTAAGATTCAAAAACAATTTTTAATTTGGGGTGGGGTTTTATTAGAATAAGACTAGGAAACAAAATAAATTAAAATAAATTAGGAAACATAATCCTAGACTAGTAAAATTCGCCCAAAATCTGCACAGCCACAAAACAACAATGTTTCTAGATCTTCAGGGCTTCAAATAGGCCCAAAATGACTCAAATTAAAGCTTGAGATGTCCCGAACATAATTGCAAAAGGCTCAAACCCAAAAGACATCATCTTGGACGCCAAAAAGCTCAAAGAAGCCCAAAATGTCACTTTGACAGCACTGCACGCTGAACCTTTATTTCATTGCCATAAATAAACCGTTTGGTAGAAAAACCTGAAACTTTGATATGAGCAAGTTGAGAGACACACGAGTATCCTCCAATTGAAATTACTCCAAAATTCATCCGTTTGATCACTTTTTACTCAAGAGGAAGTCGAATGTCGTACATTGAAAATATAAGTCAAAGTATCAAAATTCTCATAAAATAATCAATAAACTAATACTAAGATTAAGATATAAAATATAGTATAATATCAACCCATCACTAATATTTTGGAAACTAGAAGAGGAACAAACCCCTCGTAAAACCTTTTTTTTTTTTTTAATTATTTTGAAAACGATTTTTATTAGAAACACTCCAAACTTCCATTAAAGAAAATACTCCTTGAAGTAGCATGTGACAAGTGTCAAAATGCTTTATGACCCAATCGCTTTCTAGTTTTCCTAAAAAACATAGTCAAAAGCACTTCTATTTATTAGAAACTAGAAACTGTTCATTTCGAACAGGGCATAAACAAAGGCATAAATAGGTTGGACTTTGTCATACTGGTGTCTCGTAAGCATAAATTAAGACTTGGAAGATGAATGAGGATTAAAAAGCTTAGGGTTTCTTGTGGAGGAAATGGTCTTCACTCTTCAGAATTTGTTTTAATCATTCGGTGTTAATTAACATTTGAAGGATAATCCTTGATGATGCCTAGTTTCTCTCCATTATTTCATATGTCGTTTTCACTTTAGATTAATTCAATTTCACTTGTCAGAAATTGCTAGAGTCTTACCAAGCAAGTAGTCGGAAACCGTCCCAATTGACGTTCTAAAAAGATTAAAAAATAATAATAATAATAATAAGGAATGAGTAAATCAATGTTTATTTCCGTCATTTAGTAGAATGCTGGTTGTTTGGGTTTTTTTTTAATCTATTTCTATCATTTTCTTGCCACTTAAGTCTGGTTTTTTATTTTTTTTATTTTTGAATTGATTCGTATTGTCCCACTTGGCCGGCTTCCTACAACTTTCACTCTCTCTCTTCCATTATTTCTTTTCACCAAAACCTCTCTTTTGTTGTAAAATCGACAGTATGTGCAGTGGAATAAACAAGACACAAAATTTACGAGGTTTCTCTACAGTTAGTGTGACTAGAGTACATCCTCGGGGCAGCAGTGATGCTTTCATTATAATCTGAAATAATAAGAGTACAAAGATAACTCTCTCTATTCTCTCATCTCTTCTTCCTCTCTTTTCTTTCTTTCTCTTCCTTCCTCTCTTTTCTTTCTTTCTCTTCCTTCCTATCTCTCCCGTGAGTCCGCCTTCCTTCTTCACCTTCTCATTCATTTTATAAGCAAAGAGAACACTATTCACTTTACAAATTTTCCACAAATGATACTGTGCATAAATAGTAACAAACTATTTATGAATAGTGAAAATACTGTGCATAAATAATAACAACTATTCACTATTCATGAATAGTGAAAATACTGTGTATAAATAGTAACAAACTATTCACTATTCATGATTAGAACTATTCACTATTTATGAATAGTAAAAATACTATGCATAAATAGTAACAAACTATTCATATAGGTCCACATATTATTCCCAACATCTTTTGGTCTCTTTCTACTTTTGTGCGAGTATTTTTCATCGTGGTTTCCATTAACTTTTCATTATTTTCCAATGGCATTGAGCACCCAAAGAGCCTCTGCATCTTTTCTCTCGAATGAATCAACTCCTCGATGGAAGTATGATGTGTTTTTGAGTTTTAGGGGTGTAGACACCCGTAAGGGTTTTGTATCCCATTTATACCATGAATTGTGGGAGTGCCAAGGAATTACTACTTTCTTTGACGATCAAGAGCTAGAAGAAGGAACAAGTATTCCTCTTGAGCTCCTGAGTGCGATCAAAGAATCGCATATTGCAATCGTTGTTCTCTCACCAAACTATGCTTCTTCCAAATGGTGCTTGGATGAACTTACAACCATTCTTCAGTGCATGGAAGCCAGGAACTCAGTTCTGCCGGTTTTTTATGAGACAGATCCATCTAACGTTGGAAATCAAAGGGGGTCTTTTGCCAAAGCCTTTGCTGAGCATGAAGAAAAGTTCACTAGTACCGAAGAGAAAAAGAAGGTGACCCAATGGAGAGAAGATCTAAAAAAAGTATCCAAAATTTCTGGGTGGCATTCGAAGGAATCTAAGTAAGCATGCATGAACAACTTTAATTTCCCATGTCTTAGTAGAGTCAAACTTGAATGCTTCGTTTATGATTTTTTTTTTTAAATTGGTTACTTTATATATACCTTGTAGGTGTGAAAGGGAGCTTATTGAAAAAATTGTCCAAAGCGTGTGGAGGAAAGTGCAATCGACATTCACGTTGTCAAACTCCTCACAGAAATTTGTTAGGGTTACTTCTAGGCTTGAGCAATTAAGTCTGCTATTAGCTCATGATGCCAATGATGTTCGTTTTATAGGGATAACGGGGATGGGTGGCATCGGTAAGACAACCCTTGCTAAGCTAGCTTATGATAAAATCTTCCATCATTTTGAAGTTCATTGCTTTCTTGGCAACATTAGAGAGGTTTCTAAAATAAACCGTACTCTAATTGGCCTTCAAAAAAGACTTCTTTTTCCAATGTTGAAGGCAAAGATTGAAGAAATTTGGGATGAAGAGTGCGGAATCATTTTCATTAAGAAGTGCTTACGCAATAAAAAGGTTCTTCTTGTCCTTGATGATGTGGATGATTTAAAACAACTTGAAGTACTGGCTGGAAATCAAAGTTGGTTTGGTATGGGAAGTAGAATTGTGATTACGACTAGAAATGAAGGGTTGCTGGTCCAACATGGTATAGCAACATCATATAAGATGCAGGGGTTGAATGACTGCGAAGCACTTGAGCTCTTTTGTCTGAATGCCTTTATGAAAGAACAACCCGAGGAAGATTTTTTGGAACTCTTTGAGCATTTCCTAAAATATGCCAGAGGCCTTCCACTAGTTCTTAAAACACTAGGGTCTTTTTTGTATACGAGAGGTCAAGATGCATGGAACAGTATGTTGGAAAATATTCATAGAATCCCTAATCCAACAATTTTCAATTCACTCAAAATCAGTTATGACGGACTAGAGGACATGGAGAAGAGAGTTTTTCTTGATGTTGCATGTTTCCATAAAGGGAAGTGCATGCAGCAACTTTTTCGAATACTAGACAATTCATTTGAAATTTCTAGTAGTGTTGTGATAGATCTACTAATTGAAAAATCTCTCTTAACTATTGAAGAATGCTTCCAATATGATAATTCAGCCCAGTACTGCATAGGTATGCATGATTTGATACAGGAAATGGCATGGACTATTGTTGGTCAAGAGTCTAAAGAGTCTGGTCTACGCAGTAGATTGTGGCTTCTCAATGACATTATCCATATACTCACGACCAATACGGTAAGAAGTTATGTAAATTCCAAGTTCAAAACAAGTTATGATTTCTTTTAATGCAATATATTAGAATGTTAAATTTACGTTTCCTACATTCTTGGTTATTAGGGAACGAGAGCTATTGAAGGTATAGTCTTACAGTTACCCGAAATAGAAGAGGTAGTGCATTGGAATTGTGAAGCCTTCTCTACTATGCATGGATTGAGGTTTTTAGAATTCGACAATTTGATCATTTCTTCAAGTCCCAAATTTCTTCCATGTTCCTTGAGAATTATGATTTGGAGTTGGTATCCTTCCAAGTCTCTTCCACCAAGCTTTCACCCACGTTTCCTTACTGAACTAAGAATGCCTCATAGCAAACTTGTTCGTTTATGGGATGGAAAAGAGGTAAGAGTGTGTGTGTGTATAATTTTTTTTTGAACAATCGATATCATCTACAATATGGGCCGGGGGGGGGGGGGGGCTTAGCTTGATAATGGGCTAACAATAATGTGGTTCAAGTTCGTCTTTGGCGAGAAACGAACCAAAGACCTCTCACTTACCAGTGAAGAGAAATATCACTAGACCGTAGTACTAAGTGATGGTAAGAGTATATTGAATGAAGGCTACTTTACATATGTTTAAGGGTCATTTTGATTGCGGTCCATAGTCAACTCAACTGTTACATTAAAACCTTATTGTTTTTCAATATTTGATAAGATTCTTTGAGTTTGTACACCTTAACATTTTAGTATTTATTATACTTCCATGTCATTTTTTTATTTTTAAATTTAAAATTGTTGATTAAAGTCCAACATTGATAACACCCTGCCTTGTTTTCTTTTTCATTTCAAAATTGCTCTAATTACCAACATTCAAAGGATTTAAATCCAAGAATTAATGTAATTCGAAATTCTAATAATTATGAAATTCAGTCCATCATCAAATCTGAAAAAAAAAATTATGAAATTGTAAAAATCCCAAAATTTTTGGAGTGGTGTTGAGGGAAATAATTATATATATTTATCATCAAATTGTGCACAAATTTCTGAAAATTTTATCTGTTAAGTGAAACAGTGTACTTAGATTTTAGGACCTAAATAAGATTACTTTTAGATTATAACATACATGGTTTTCTCTATCCAATTTAAGTCCCTATTTTAAAATCTTAACGCAATGTCATATTTAGTTGCCTCTATCACATATTACAAACTTGCCATCCACATTTCCCTATTCAATTCAAAATTAAGACTAAAAATTGGAAATTGACTTTCACACTCAAATCACCAATTAATGCACTTAAATCAAAATTCTAAAATTTTAAAATTTTTGGAAAGTACTCATAGGTACAAGAAAATAAATGAAATTTTTTATATTGATTAATTGTGAATATAAACGTGAATAACAAAAATACATTTACAAAAGAAAAGCAAAACATCATCACTAACACAATTCCCATCTCCATAAGAAGAAAAAAAGAACACCCATAAAAATTATAAGTACATTAACAAAGTGCTATAAATGGGTACGGAAGTATAAGTGCATAAGCATAGGTACGGAAGTGTAAGTGCATAAGCATAGGTACGGAAGTATAAGTGCATAGGCATAGGTGCGGAAGTATAAGGGCATAAACATAGGTACGAAAGAATAAATGCATAGGCATAGGTACGGAAGTATAAGGGCATAAACATAGGTACATAATTTCGGTATGCAAACTTTGGTCCATGTATCTTCATATAAGTATACAAATCATAGATTTAAAAATACGTACTTGTCAATCTCCATAGATAAAAAATTATCATACACGAAAAAACACAATTCATAAGCAAAAAATAGATTTGCAAACATTAGTTGTTCCATAATGCAAGAAACATACGAATCATGAGAATATATAATTGAGAGAGATAAGAGATAATATAAAGGAGAAATGTATAAGTGAGTTGGACATGTTGCTCTTCATAAATGAAACCTTATTGTGCAACTCGTATAGACATTTTGTAAATTTTTTTTTTATTGATTTCAAAATAAACATGAAAGCTCAAAGGCAACTCCTATATAGAAAGTTGTTGAGTTGAATATGAAGTCAAATGATCAAAATTAAATATTAGATCTTACACTCCGTTTTTTTGAAAATTAAATCTTGTGAAAGATGTTAATCTAGTTTTCTATTAAATTTATTATGGGTACATACAAAAGCAATTTAACCATGGACTTGACAAAAAAAAGTACCAATGAACATTAAAAAAAATTGTGCGTACCCAAAACACATAAATATCAATGGGTACATATATTGAATTTACAAGAAACTTATAGTTAACATTGTACCCAAATAAAAATAAATACAAGAGGAAAAACTCATGGGTATATGTAAAAACTCAAGGAAAAGAATGTACCACATTGTTTTGTAGGCATGCATATGGGTACATAAAAATGCAACCACCAAACCATTATACCTAATTTTCTCAGAAAAAAAAAACATTGTAACCCATATCTCAAAATGTATAATGAAATTGTGCTCACAAAACATATTGTACCAATAGATATATTTGAATGAAATAATATGCAGAATAAATTTGTACCCATAAAATAATAAAAGTGTAGCGAACCATAGATTGAACCATCAAGATTAATAAAGGAAAGAAACAATAAAAAGAAGAAAAAAAAAGGAGAGAGTGAGGGGTAGGTTTGGCGTCTGGTTGATGAAGGAGCGTAAGGGATTGAGTAGTATTCATCTTCACTTGTAAGTAAGAGATCTTAGGTTCGATGTTTGTCAAATGCGAATTTAAACCACATTATTAATTACTCATTGTGAGCCTAAACTCACTTCCTCTTCCTTAACGTAGATAATATAGTTTGTTAAAAAAAAAAATAGAACGGTAAGGTTTTTGGAAGCTTATATATTATTTCTTGTATGGTGCAGAACTTCCCCAAGTTGAAATATATTGATCTGATTAAGTCAAATAAATTGATCGGCACCCCAGATTTCACTGGTATTCAAAATCTCGAGGAGTTGGTTCTTGAGGATTGTACGAAGTTAGTTGAGATTCATCTATCTATTGCAGTTCTTAAAAAACTTAAAGTTTTGAATCTTCGTGGCTGTAAAAGTATTAAGAGACTCCCAAGTGAGGTAGAAATGGATTCTCTTGAATATTTAGATCTTACCGAATGCTCCAAAGTGAAAAGGATTCCAGAATTTTCGAACCAGATGAGAAGTTTGTCCAAGCTTTTATTAGGTGGGACTGCGATTGAGAAATTACCTTCATCGATTGGACATCTGGTTGGACTTACTGTACTGGGTATCATTAAATGCAGAAATCTGTTGGATATTCCTATTGAGATTTGTAATTTGAAATCTCTTAAAAGGCTGCTAATCGGCCGAAGTTTGAAAATCGAAAAACCCCCAGGGAAAAGCGGTATAAGAGAGCCGTTTGTTTATATGAAAAATCTGAGATCTCATTGGTTTGGTGGATCAATTGCTAAACCAAGGGATGATTGGGGCCTTCTCCGCTTACTTGGAATTAGAAAGAGCGATGAGCCTTGTTGGGGTTTGGTGTTATCTTCTTTATATCATTTCCGTTGTCTGGAGGACTTACAGCTACGTTATTGTGATCTTGGTGAAGGTGATATCCCTGATGATATTGGTTGCTTGTCCTCTTTACGAAAGTTAAATCTTTGTGGAAACAATTTTGTTACCCTTCCAGCAAGCATCAAATGCCTTTCTCGACTTGAGTCTCTTTGTTTGGAGGCGTGCGAAAGACTTGAGCAACTGCCAGATCTTCCATCAAATAGCAAATTACTCGTAAATGTAAATCATTGTACTTCATTGAAAAGGTTGTCGGATCCATCCAAGTTGGGCAGCAGATTCGCCAATTTGTATGATTTTAATTTCAGTTCTATGAATTGCATTACACTGGTGGAAGATGGAGACTGGATTAATACAATATATTCAAGGATCGTGAAATACGCCACTCAGGTACTCTCTCTCTCTCTCTCTCTCCCTCTCTCTCTCTCTCTCTCCCTCTCTCCCTCTCTCTCTCCCTATATATATATATATATGTAATGGTTCTTTGGCAGGGACTCTTTCTTGATTGGTACAATAATTATATTGTATGCCCCGGAAAGGTGATTCCGAAGTGGTTCAACAATCAAACTGTGGGACATTCGCTAAATGTGGAGCTACCTCCCCAATCATGTAGCAGCTGGATGGGGATTGCTTTTTGTGTTGTTTTTGCACAAGATAAGGAAACCTTGGGAATTCCAGCTGGCCTTCTCTATTATCAATGCAGGATTCGGGATTCACCTTGGACTAGATGTACGCATTGGTATCCTGATATAAGGCCTCTTGTGTCGGAACACCTTTGGGTATTCTTTTTACGTCACGTAATATGTCATCAAGAACAGTTTCTATTTGAAACTTGTTATTGCGAACCGGGTATGACTGAACCCAAAGGAGGCTTGAATATGGTGAAGAAGTGTGGGGCTCGTTTGGTGTACAAGAAAGATTTGGAAGAACTCAACCGAACACTGAAAATCTTGAAACGAACACATGACTATTGTGAAGAGGCAGCTTCAAGTCAAAGTCCTACTTTTGAAGAACATACCCGCAAAAGGCAGAAGGAAGACGAATAATTGTTTTATGTTTTGTTAACCATTCAATGCCTCAGAGCTGTACTCGAAAGCTTTTCTCAGAATCCATATTAGTAAGTCACCATCTCAATCCCAGCATAACCTACATAATATCTGAGTATTATTTTTTTCCTCTTTTGAGCTATAAAATTTTAATTTCCTAGCCATGCAGATTGGAGAGCTTAAGCAAAATTAATAATGCAAGACTATCGATGTTATAGAAATTAACACAAGCACTAATTGTTCAGTTGATCTCTTTCTCTCTTCTGCTTTTTCTGTCCTTAAATTCTGTCTGCCTCCTGTGTTTTGCCATCTTAGCCAATGCCATTCAAGTAGGGAGGAGGGAAGGGGAGAGAGAATAGGAAGGAAGAGAAGGAGAATCATCCTCCATATATTATATGCACTTGAATAAAACATGTTTGTTTAAATACAATCAAGTTAGATCCTGCAGTGAAGCCTAAATATGTTTGTACATTAAATAATGTGTCTCTCATTTGTGCCAGAGATTCAACCAAAAGAGATGCAGAGTCGTAGTATGTAAAGAAGATGTTCAATTAATGATTGGGAAAAGTAAGCAATGTCTTGGATGCATTCAGACAATTTTAAATTTGACTAGATCATAATATTTTTGTTTGGGTGGTGCTATCCACAAAACAAGGATCCTCTCTGGATTTTCTTTATGAGGATCCGAGGGATCAATCAATTTTGTCTGTTCATCGTACATTGTGCGGTTAGAAATCATTTAAAATTTAAAATTTAAAATTTAAAATTGAATATAAATAGTACCTAACGAAAACTAACCGTACGATATACGATGAACGAACAAGATTGATTGATCTTCCAGATCCCCACAAAGAGGATCCAAAGAGGATCCCTGTTCCTATCCACACACCTCTCTTAATTTTCAACTGTCACATCGAATGAATTAAATAATATCAAAGAACTGAAATTAATAGGGTGTGTGTGGAAGGTAAAAAAGGGTCATGCATACATGAGATGTTTATCTTTTAGGATTTAAATAAAATTGTAAAGTAGTGTTTGGCGTTAACAAAAAGTGGAATGATATTATGTGGATGTAAGATTGGGAAGCAAAATATATTGTGATAGTTTGCAGCATCGGCCGAATTGAAGCAAAACTTATTATGGTATGAACAAATAAGTAGCTTCAGACATAAAACTAAAAGTGCTTGAGCAGTGCCGATCATGATATCTGAAAACCGATAAGGAAGCTGTAACAATGTTGTGCTGTGAACCCTTTCTTTATTGCAAATATTGATAATTTTGAACTCAAACTAAAAGTAGATTCTTATACGCAACTAAAATGTGTATTTATTTATGTGCAGAATGAGAAGAAATTTATCATACTGGGTTTATTTTGGCTTTGATTATTTTCCAAATTAAACTTCAGCTGCAAATATTGCCGAACCGAACCATTTTAAACATGGTTGGAACTCGGTAGCTGATTTTTTGTGCTTAAATAAATAAACTGTCTTAAAACTGCGCTAAGAAAATAATTTGGCTCGTGATAAGACCATGACTTCATGAATGCTTATATTTATGATTTTTTTCATTCAAAGTAAAGAATAAGCCCGCGTGTCTAGCAAATTCAGAAAAAGTGTTAATGACTACCGATTATTTCTTACCTCCGATCTTGTGCAAACAGAAAGAAGTAGATTAAATCGAAAACTCTATGTTTTAATTTTCCAAAAGAAGCTTGTTCTCTGCCTCCAAGACCTCATGGGCGTTTTCAATACCATTTCTTTTTGTACAGTTTCTGAGTTTTTTGCACATGCCTCAATGCAACTTATTGAATTGTAAGTTGTGAGCTGATTAATATTAGAAAATAAGTTTTGATTTTAAACGGTTTATTCACTTGTGTCAAAGAATGACAAGTGTAAGGTTCTTAATGTAAGGCCATGAGTGCCATGTGTTAGAATCCTAGATTATAAGAAGATGTATGGTTGAGATCTCTTGATGAATGTGTGAGCTCCACCTACATAACAAAACCGTTATAATGCACGGTAGTGTGAACAGGAGAGAGAAATGAATTACCCCTCTGCGACTTGCAGAGGTTGAAGCTTTCAAAATTCCTTCTGAAAATTATTTCTGTTATATTCGATTGTTCTTGTTAATCTTCTTCTTCGAACCAATACAGATTATCATCCATTCTAACAGAAGTTGCTTAATTATATAGTTAATTGAGATTAAAGAATAGTGATTAATTAGCTTCAAAGCAAGGATTCAAAGAATCAAAAGATGCGCTTTGGTGAAAAGCAATATGGTCAAACATAGCGGGTACACATGCATACGATGCACCAATTTCAAATTGCTTAAAAGTGGAGAGAGAGAGAGAGAGAGAGAGAGAGAAGAGTGATATTAAAGTGAAGATTCGAACTCTTGATTTATATAACTAAACACTGAGATAAACTAATAAAGATTGTAAAAGTTAAAATAAATTGTCTAGATTTCTCCATCGTTCACACCAAACATAAAGCTTCAGAGAGCATCTCACTTAGCAATTTTCAATACTCTTTTTTCCTCTTTGATAAAAATAAACAAAATTATACAGAAGAAAATAAAAAGAATTCATACATGTGCTTGCAGAAGAAAAATTGGTGCTCTGCGGGACCCACAGGCAATGGTGTCGTGCTCCTTCTTTCCTGATTCTCTCGTGCATGCTTTTTCCCCCTCCTCTTTGATGGACACCTAATCGTACGGTTTATTAATTTTAAAATCAAATTACTTAAAATACACAGGATTAATTATTTTAATTTTGAACGATGACGTGGCAAGATCAAAGCCGGCTAGGCCCCCCTTCGACCAGACCGATAGTCCACACCGTACGAATATACCTGAGGCTAAAATGCGGGCGTGGCACACAACGTGCACGTGAGCGCAGCGAAACAAAACCCGGACGCGTCCCCGGTCAAAAAACCGGATTTGTTAATCGGCGACAGGTCCGAACTTTGGAATTGGGGGCATTGGTTCTGGTTGGAGGTCTTCGGTCAAAAAAGAAAAAATAACGCAAAAACAATTTCTTTCGAAATCTTTTCTACTTCCAAGGTAGAGAAAGATGACACATCCCAACAAGGAAGCTTTCAGGAAATTTCTCATAGTCGGTCTTCCACTTTTTATTTTTTATTTTTTAGAAAGAGTGATGTTATTCATATTATATTTATATATTACATTTTTATACAATTTTAGATGATATTTGATGTGAATAATCACATTATTTAAATTAATCAGATTTTTAAATTTAGTTTATTATTTAATAAATTAATAATTAAGAAAAACTAGTTAATTAAATGATAATTATAGACGAGTCTTTTTCCTTCATTTACTTGAATTTTGTAAATTTTTTAAATAATATACCTGTCCACGTCAAATACCACCTAAAATAATATAAAAATATAATATAAAAATATAATATGAATAACATTATTTTTGTGAAAACCCACACTAAACCGTGCACGTTTGTTAACGTTTTCTCTTCAGCATTTCACTATGACCCACACGAAACCGTGTGGTCACCACCACCACCAACGGCCATGATTGTTTGCCCTCTCACTTTTTATGCTCTCTCATACCGTTTTGTTGTGTGGTCACGGTTAAGTAAGGTTAAATTTTATATTATTATATATTTTTTATTATTTCTATAAAAGAAACAATATAAAATATTGACGTGATTTAATCATGACCACACAAAACATAAAGGCATGGAAGGACATGGAAAATGAGAGGGCATGCAATCCTTATCCACCACCACCACCAACACCACCACTACCAGTACAAGAAGAGATTTTTCAGTGTTCTTATTTTATGAAATGGTATATTATGTGTCCTTATATAAATAATAAATTATATATGTTAAAAAATTAATAACTTAAAAATTAAAAATTTTCTCCCGCATAAAAACATGCGACCATTGTTCCGTCACAACTAAAAATTTTCCCAGTACAAGTAGTTGATTGTCCATCTCTCTCCCATTTGTTTCCATTCCTACCTTCTCTCTCAACTTCGTCTCTTCCTACAACTTTGCTGTGAGAATCTTGAGTGTGATTTTTCTGCTTCTTTTCTTGTCATTTCTCACTTCTCTCTGCCTGTGTAAGTTTTGTTGATTCAGTATTTTGATTTTGTGATATTTGCTTTGAGTCCTTAATCTCGTTTTCTTTATATACATTTTCAATTACCAAAACAAGATTTAAAGTTTCTATTTTCCTTTTCACTGCTCATTTTTATTTTACTTGTTAGTTTTTGTTTCTCTTTTTTGTTTGCAGAACCCTTTTTCCAGTAGTAACTGAATCTGTTCAACGGCCGAAACTGAGTTATCGAGGACGGTGAGATCAAATCGAATTGACAAATATGTCTTGGTACTGAGTTACATATCTGACCACAGTGAGTCCCATTTTAAGAAGATTTAAAGTTTCAAATTTTCAATTTTTTTTTTTAATGTTAAAACGTTAATCTTCCATCTATTTACTTTTTCATTCAGTTACTGTTCGGAGTACTCGATTTACAGCAACTGTTTTTTTTTCCGATGGCATTGAGCACCCAAAGAGCCTCTGCATCTTTTGTTTCGAATGAATCCACTCCTCGATGGAAGTATGATGTGTTTTTGAGTTTTAGGGGTGTAGACACCCGCAAGGGTTTTGTATCTCATTTATACCGTGAATTGTGCAAGTGCCAAGGAATTACGACTTTCTTTGACGATCGAGAGCTTGAAGGAGGAACAAGTATTCATCTTGAGCTCCCGAGTGCGATCAGGGAATCGCATATTGCAATCGTTGTTCTCTCACCAAACTATGCTTCTTCCAAATGGTGCTTGAATGAACTTACAACCATTCTTCAATGCATGGAAGCCAGGAACACAGTTCTGCCAGTCTTCTATGAGACAAATCCATCTGACGTTGGAAATCAGAGGGGGTCTTTCGCCAAAGCCTTCGATGAGCATGAAGAAAAGTTCATTAGTACCGAAGACAAAATGAAGGTGACCCAGTGGAGAGAAGCTCTGAAAAAAGTATCCAAAATTTCTGGGTGGCATTCGAAGGAGTCTAAGTAAGCATGCATGAACAACTTTAATTTCCCATGTCTTAGTAGAGGTAAACTTGAATGCTTCGTTTATGTTTTTTTTTATTGGTTATTTTTATACCTTGTAGGTGTGAAAGTGAGCTTATTGAAAAAATCGTCCAAAGCGTGTGGAGGAAAGTGCAAGCTACATTCACGTTGTTAGATTCTTCACAGAAATTTGTTGGGGTTAATTTTAGGCTAGAGCAACTAAGTTCGCTATTAGCTCATGATGCCAATGATGTTCGCTTTATAGGGATAACGGGGATGGGTGGCATAGGTAAGACAACCCTTGCTAAGCTAGTTTATGATAAAATCTTCCATCATTTTGAAGTTCATTGCTTTCTTGGCAACGTTAGAGAGGTTTCTAAAATAAACCGTACTCTAATTGGCCTTCAAAAAAGACTTCTTTTTCCGATGTTGAAAGAAAAGATTGAAGAAATTTGGGATGAAGGGTGGGGAAGCATTTTCATTAATAAGTGCTTAAGCAATAAAAAGGTTCTTCTCGTACTTGATGATGTGGATGATTTAAAACAACTTGAAGTACTGGCTGGAAACCAAAGCTGGTTTGGTATGGGAAGTAGAATTGTGATTACGACTAGAAATGAAGGGTTGCTAGTCCAACATGGTATAGCAACATCATATAAGATGCGGGGGTTGAATGACTGCGAAGCACTTGAGCTCTTTAGTCTGAATGCCTTTAGGAAAGAACAACCCGAGAAAGACTTTTTGGAACTCTCAAAGCATTTCCTAAAATATGCTAGAGGCCTTCCGCTAGTTCTTAAAACATTAGGGTCTTTTTTGCATACGAGAGGTCAGGATGCATGGAAGAGTACGTTGGATAATATTCATACGGTTCCAAATCCAACAATTTTCAATACACTCAAAATCAGTTATGACGGACTAGAGGACATAGAGAAGAGAGTTTTTCTCGATGTTGCATGTTTCCACAAGGGGAAGTGCATGAAGCGAGTTATTCAAAAGCTAGACAATTCTTTTGAAATTTCTAGTAGTATTATGATAGATCTACTAATTGAGAAATCTCTCTTAACTATTGAAAAACGCGTCCAATATGATAAATCAGCCAAGCACTTCATAGGGATGCATGATTTGATACAAGAAATGGCATGGACAATTGTTGGTCAAGAGTCTAAAGAGCCCGGTCTACGGAGTAGGTTGTGGCTTCCCAATGACATTTTTCATATATTCACGACCAATACGGTAAGAAATTATGTAAATACCAAGTTCAAAAGATGATATGATTTCTTTTAACGCAATATACTTAAATGTTAAATTTACATTTCCTACATTCTTGGTTATTAGGGAACGAGAGCTATTGAAGGTATAGTTTTACAGTTGCCTGTAATAGAAGAGGTGCACTGGAGTTGTGAAGCCTTCTCTAGTATGCATGGACTGAGGTTTCTAGAATTCGACAATTTGATCATTTCTTCAAGTCCCAAATTTCTTCCATGTTCCTTGAGAATTATGGTTTGGAGTTGTTATCCTTCCAAGTCTCTTCCACCAAGCTTTCACCCGCGTTTCCTTACCGAACTAAGAATGCATCATAGCAAACTTGTTCGTTTATGGGATGGAAAAGAGGTAAGAGTATATTGAATGAATGCTACTTTAACATAATTTTTTATGAATTGTTTTATACACACGCCACATTTTTTTTACCACTCCCCACGTGCTCAATACACCCCATATCCATTTTTTTAATTAAAATTTATCTTACCACAACCCACTTGCTTTCCAAAACTACCCTCACACCCCATACTCTTTGTCAATTAAGGATTTTTTAGTTTCATTTTCTATAGATTTTGGGGTTTTTGTCAATTAGTGTGCCCTACCTATATTAGAGAGATGCTATAATTAATTGTATAAATAAGTGGTAAATATAGCATTACTCTTTTTTCAATGTCAAATAGAATTGTAAGGTTTTTGGAAGCTTATATATTATTTCGTGTATCGTACAGAACTTTCCCAAGTTGAAATGTATTGATCTGAGCTACTCAAATAAATTGATCCGTACCCCAGATTTCAATGGTCTTCAAAATCTTGAGGTGTTGATTCTTCGGTGTGTAAGAATTTAGTTGAAATTCACTCATCATTTGCAGTTCTTAAAAAACTCAAAGTTTTGAATCTTCGTGGCTGTACAAGCATTAAGAGCCTCCCAAGTGAAGTAGAAATGGATGCTCTTGAGTTTTTAAATCTTTCCAGATGCTCCAAAGTGAAAAAGATCCCAGAATTTTCGAACCAGATGAAAAGTTTGTCCAAGCTTTTTGTACGTGGGACTACGATTGAGAAATTACCGATTGAACATCTGGTTGGCCTTACTAAACTGAGTATCAGTAAGTGCAAAAGAGAGCCGTTTGTTAATATGAAAAATCTCAAATTTCTTCGGCTTTCCGGACAACTTGCTAAACCAAGTGATGATTGGGACCTTCTCCGTTTGGTGTTGTCTTCTTTATATCATTTGCGTTGTTTGAAGGTGTTACGACTACGTTATTGTGATCTTGGTGAAGGTGATATCCCCAATGATATTGGTTGCTTGTCCTCTTTAAAAGAGTTAGATCTTCGTGGAAACAATTTTGTTACCCTTCCAGCAAGCATCAAATGCCTTTCTCGACTCGAGCGTCTTTACTTGGTCGGGTGCGAAAGACTTGAGCAACTGCCAGATCTTCCGTCAAATAGCAAATTACACGTATATTTATTTGATTGTACTTCATTGAAAAGGTTGTCGGATCCATCCAATTTGTATGATTTTGCTTTCAGTTCTGTGAATTGCATTACGCTGGTGAAAGATGAAAACTGGATCAAAACAATATATTCAAGGATCGTGAAATACGCAATTGAGGTACTCTCTCTCTCTCTCTCTCTCTCTCTCTCTCTCTCTCTCTCTCTCTCTCTCTCTCTCTCTCTCTCTCTCTCTCTCTCTCTCTCTCTCTCTCTCTCTCGTCTCTCTCTCTCTCTCTCTCTCTCTCTCTCTCTCTCTCTCTCTCTCTCTCTCTCTCTCTCTCTCTCTCTCTCTCTCTCTCTCTCTCTCTCTCTCTCATATAATGATTCTTTTGATGCAGAAAATCTATCGTTTTTATGATCATATTGTGTGCCCCGGAAAGGGGATTCCCGAGTGGTTCAACAATCAAACTTTGGGACATGCGCTAGATGTGGAGCTACCTCCGCAATCGTGTAGCAGCTGGATGGGGATTGCTTTTTGTGTTGTTTTTGCACAACCTAAGGATATCTTGCGTCTTCTTCAAAAACAAAAGGAGAACTTCCTAAATGTAGAGTACCTTGAACATGATGGATTCTCGATTCGGTGTTTACCTCGGACTAACCGTAAACAGAGTACATGGAGTACAAGATGCTTTACATGGCCTCTTGTGTCTGAACACCTTTGGATATTCTATTTGCCTCGCAAACAATGTCTTCAAGAACAGTTTCTATTTGAAACTTATTATAAACTCGGAATGAATAAATCCAAAGTTGGCTTGAATATGGTGAAGAAGTGTGGGGCTCGTTTGGTGTACAAGCAAGATTTGAAAGAACTCAAACGAACACTGAAAATCTTGAAGTGAACATACGAATATTGTGAAGAGGCAGCTTCAAGTCAAAGTCGTAGTTTTTGACGACAAAGAACATACCCGCAAAAGGCAGAAGGAAGACAAATAATTGTTTCATGCTTTTTTCAACCATTCAATGCCTCAGAGTTTACTCAGAATCCATGTAAGTCACCATCTGAATCCCAGTATAACCTACATAATATTTTAGTTTTACTTCTTAATTCTTTTGAGCTATAAAATTTTAACTAGCAACTGTGCCCGAGCAATGCTACGGGTTTTAAAACCGTATAAACATGCAGAAAGTTCTAAATACCTACAGTATGAAAAACTATTTACATTCATGTGAAAATCGATTTACAGTAACTAACATATAGGTGTCCAAGTGTCCATATCACAGTCATTGGTTTCTGGTGCGGAGTTCACAGATTACTACTGGTTTGAGCTGAAGAGTTGGATGAACTCGCTCTAAACTCCAATGATCTCTACACAGCTGCTTATCTGTCGGCAATTCATCATCAAGATAAATACACTTTTGACCTCAACTCTCCATTTATAACTCAATCTTTCACAGAAACCCAATAACTATCTACTCCTGCATGACCAGAACATAAATCTACCTTAATTATAGTTCTAAAACTGAATTCAACCCATAAATCCAATTCTAAATTACCAAACAATTAAAAAAAAAACTTTAGCATCAGATAACACTTCAAACAAACAAAAAGCACGATACAAAATCTTGCACCAATAGATCGAAACCCAAAAACAGATGATCAAAGCAAAAAGCTGGAAGCAAAAAGTATTTTACTTATGCAAAAGCTTGCATTTTTTTTATATCCAACACTCAAACTTGCATAAATCAAAGAAAAGTAAAAATTAAAATGTAGAGTTGTCCTCAAACATACTGTGTCGAAGCAAAGCGTAGAGGTTTGTGAAGCAAACAGCACATCAAAACAAATTGGAGGTCCCATAGCCTCCATTCCTCCTCCTCAGTCTAAAAAAATTACAAAAACATTTCAATAAGTACATTAACATTTCAAAAAAATAAGTTTTTGTTCATATATTTTGGTTCATACTATGTGAAAGGAGGCATTATCATATGTGTATTCTACAAAATTATATGGCATGTAAAAAAGAATATCCAGTCAAATGCCAGGCAAAAATTGAATATTCACAAAAAGTAACAGAACATTAGAAGTTAAAATTCAAAAAGAATCTAAACTATTTACCATTTCAGAATAACTTAAATATAGAGATCCTCATCATTTCATGTGTCCAGTCATCCATGCTAAATTCGGAAAATGAACGACATCCATATTAGAATAAAGCCATTGACCATTTTTTGATTTTCCGCCAATTAGGGCAATTGCATTGGCCCCTTTACATTGAAGGCTGAACCAATGCAATCTGAAAGGATAAAAAAAAAATAAAGGTCGTACCCAGTGCACAAGGCTCCCGCTTTACGCAGGGTCTGGGAGAGGTGAATGTCGACTAGCCTTACCCCCATTTATGGAGAGGCTGCTCCCAAGTCTCAAACCCGAGACCTACCGCTCATGGGCGAAGGCACTTGCCATCGCACCAAGAAACATGAAACATGAAAGCTCGGTACCATCTTTACTGAAAACAGTAAAAAGGAGTAACTAAACTTACGCCCTTAAGAACTATAAAAAAATGCCTCATCAAACATAAAACTCCACTTACTGATATGAGATGATTTGAGCTACCAAAGGAAAACTCTACTTACTGGGCATATCCAAATGTCATCCTTAAGATCAAAATAATTCCATATTCAGAATAAATTTATTGATGACAAAGTTTATCAAAGTTATATGAACCTGTGACTAAATTATGACATTATATGCTCTCAATGCCACACAAATTCGGATTGTCAACACTGCACTTTCGACAATGGGCGTAAAGAGTTTAGACCCTTTTTGAAATGGTAAATAATGCACAAAAAGATATAAACTATCTACCATTTCAAAATAACTTAAATTGCCGTACCGTAGAACAAAACCAGCGTTCTAGTTCTAGGATTCATATAACCGACCCCACTTAGTGGGAAAATGCTTTGTTGTTGTTGTTGTTGTTGTAGAACAAAACCACAACTTCAAATTCAAAAAATTAAACAACTAAATTTGCCCTAAAATGTTGTTTATACTTGTCATGCATATATATAGTGTTGAACCCAGAAGAAAAAATTTCTATAAATTCCACAACCCAGTAACCAAAATTGGAATAATAATTAAAAAAATCTACCAATTGTAGAGAGAGAGAGGAGACGTTGAGCATTCATGTGGAGAGAATCGTTGAGAGTAGGATCTTTGGGGCAAACCTGAGGAGATCGGGGATTGGGGATAATTCGGTTGAGACCAACGTCGAGGTCGGCCGTTGCCAGAATCGTAGAAGTCGTCGCCGGAAAATTGAAACATCAGAGAGAAGGCAGCGGTGAGTGGGTATTTTAGAGAGAGAAGCCAGAGAGAATCGAGCGGGAAGGAACTGGGAGAAGGGAGATTGGAACGATCTGGATGAAACCAGGTTTTTTCTGGAGAGACGCAGCGGATGAAAGCAAATAGAAATAATGACCACCAAGTATATAAGAGGGCAAAATGGGACTTAGGATAAATATTTGAGGCCAAAAATGGTAGTACACTGTTCATTTAGTTGAAAATGAGTTTTAGGATTCTTGGCAAGTGCTTTTAAATGACTGAAAACACTTATGGGTAAAATAGTTTTGAGTTCAAAAAATACTTAAATATTTCCTGCAAGAAGCGCTAGTTATGTAAGATTATTGATGTTAAATAACTTAACTCAATCACTACTTGTTCAATTGATCTCTTTCTTTCTCTTCTGCTTTTCTGCCCTTAAGTTCTCTATGCCTCTTGTGTTTGGTCATCTTAGTCAATACCATGAGCTATATATATTATATGCACTTGAATAAAACATGTTTGTTTAAATACAATCAGTGAGTACTTTTTTTTTTCCTTAGATCCAGCAATGAAGTCTAACTGTGTATATACATTAAAAAATGTGTTTCTCTTTTCTATGCCAGAGATTCAACCATAAGAGATGCAAAGTCGCAGAGTGGATTCTATTAGGTAGGACTAGGATAAGTCTCTTGTTACATTTTGTTTAATTTTAGTTTGCAGGAAATGCTGTAACATCGTTATACTGTGATACAATCGTATTGTACTTAGTTTTTCTCGAATGGCCTTGCGTACATGAGATGTTTACCTTTTTTTAGGATTTCATAGATAATTGTAAGAGTAAATTGTAGCAATAGTCCTTCAACTTTAACTCAATTTGAATAATAGTCTCACAACTAAAAATCCATTATCATTGGTCCCCCAACTCATCAAAACGTGCAGCTATGATCCCTCAATTAAAAATTCATTACCAATGATACCTTAAGTTTAATCCAACTGGAGAAATTGTCTTTCAACTTTAACCCATGTTGAGAAATTGTCCATCAACTTTAATCCAATTGTAGTAGTGGTCATTCCAACATCATTTTGACCAAATTCTGACGAAGTTGACGAAAATGATCATAGCTATACGTTTTGATAAGTTGAGGGACCAATTGTAATAGATTTTTTGTTGATGGATCATTGCTTTAATTTGATTAATGTTGAGAGACCATTTCTACAATTTACTCTAATTGTAAAGTATAGCATGGCGATGGCGTTGACAAAAAAAGTGCAATGATATATGTGTTCGGATGTAAGATTGGGAAGCAAAATATATTGTGATAGTTTCAGCACCAGCCGAATTGAAGCAAAACTTAGCATGCTATGAACGAATAAAGTAGCTTCAGAGACAAAGCAAGTGCTTGAGCAGTGCTGATCATGATATCTGAAAACCCCTAAGGAAGCTGTCATGGTTCTTTACATAAATGCAGGATATTCTGTAACAATGTTGTGTTTGTGAATCTTTTCTTTATTGTGGATACTGATAATTTTGAACTCAAAGTGAAAGTATATTCTTAATGGCGAGGCTAAGACGCAACAAAAAAGTGAATATCTGTTTCTGTGCAGATGAGAAGAAATTTATCATACCGGGTTAATTTTGGCTTCATCATTTTCAAAATGAAACTTCAGCTGCAGACGTTGGAATTTGGTAAGAATCTTTTTGTGCTTAAATGTTTTCTGTTATAGGTTCAATCTGTTAGACCAAGTCATAGTCCGCGTGCGGTTTCAAGAGTTCGTGATCAAGTCCAACTGTTATCCAACAAGAGTTAGTTTAGGTTAAGACTCTTTCAAATATTCCTTTCCATGTAAATCCAAGTTTGATCTTTCTGTTGTATCTTTGATTTTCAAATATCCTTGTAAATAGGGATTTCAGTTCCCTGATGTAATCTGGAATGCATTATAAATACATGCAGCCCATCACTGATTGGGTAATGCAATTGAAGTGAAACTGTGAGTGTTTGTAAGTTTTACATGGTATATGAGCCCTAGCAGTCTAACGACATATATCAGTTTTTTTTTTCTTCCATGGCCGATTCTAGCAACGGTGCTGCAACCCAAACCTCCAACCTCACAAATTCCACCATGAACCCCTTCTCGTCTTTGACCACAGTGGTGAATATTAAGCTGGTTCGGACCAATTATCCTCTATGGTTGGCTCAAATCTTACCTGTTCTCAAAAGTCGGGACCTGATGGGTTACGTCGATGGGACGGTTGTTTGCCCTCCCAAACAACTTTCTGGAAGTACAACTACCAATCCTGCGTACACAACATGGGTGCAGTACGATCAAATGATACTCAGCTGGATTAATGGATCGCTCACGCCGTCTATGCTCTCGGTCGTGGCCAGCAAGAGGACCTCTCGTGCTACCTGGGAGGCTCTTGAGCAACGGTATGCCTCTACGTCCCAGAATCGCATCTTGTTTCTGAGGAATGAACTTTTACAAACAAAAAAAGGTGATTTGTCAATTGCTGATTATCTTGATAAGATGAATGCTATTTCTGATAACCTTGCCCTAGCTAGCAAACCTATGGATGATGATGAACTTGTCCAGATTATCTTGAACAATCTTGGGCCTGCTTATGAGATGACAGTGAACGCTGCTCAGGCATGTGATACTCCAATCACGTACCCTACGCTTGAGGCGCTCTTATTGACAACTGAGAGGAGGATGACTGAGCAAGCTGCTCCACTCATGGAGGCTGCTCCTGTTAATGCCTTTGTCACTGCTAGAGGTCGTGGTGGACGATCTCGTGGAAATGGACGAGGAATGGCTCCGGCTGGACATGGTGGTGCTGCTGGAAACCAGCGCGGTGCCAATCCCCACAACAATTATTTTACTAACAGTGTGAGACCTAATTTTGCATGCAATGGTGAAAAGTTCAATAGTGCAGGAGAAAGGATTGTATGCCAAATTTGTGGAAAACAAGGGCATCCTGCCCTAGATTGTTACCAAAGAATGAATGCTGCGTATGAAGGAAGGATCCCAGCCAAGAAACTCACTGCCATGGCCACCTCTCCAATCACTCCTAACCGCCAAAACAATGGCCAGTGGCTGCTTGATACTGGCGCCAATGCCCATGTCACTCCAGATCTTCAGAATTTGGTTAATCCAAAAGAGTATCACGGTAATGAAAATGTGGGTGGAGTAGGTAATGATTCTGGAATTTCTATTTCTCATCTTGGTTCAAATACTTTACAAACTAAATCTTGCTCATTTGAATTGAAAGATATCCTAAGATGTCCCACGGCCTCCACACATATTATTTCTGCCCACAAATTTACCCTAGACAATCATTGCTATATACTTATTTTCCCTCATTTTATCCTTGTCAAGGACCTCAAGACCGGGAAGACGCTTTTTCACGGGAGATGTGAGAATGGCTTATACCCATTTTCAGGTGGCGGTGGACAGTTTAATTACCCTATTTCAGTGTGTGTAGGCGTTCGAGTTTCGGCTCAGAAATGGCATTCACGCCTTGGGCATCCTGCCTCGTCTATTGTCCAGTTTTTAATTTCAAATAAGAAAGTACCAATTCTTGGTGCTTCCAATGTCAAATTTTGTCAGTCATGTCCCTTAGGCAAGAGCACTAAATTACCTTTTAGTAGCTCGGAGTCTGTTTCCCAATTCCCTTTACAACTTTTGCATTCTGATGTTTGGTGTTCTCCCGTTAATTCAGTTGAAGGTTTTCGCTATTACATGTTATTTGTGGATGATTATTCTCGGTATTCTTGGGTTTTTCCAATGAAAACTAAATGTGAGGTCTTTGAAATCTTTGTGAAGTTTAAAGCACAGGTTGAAAATATGTTTAACAGTTCTATCAAAACTCTTCAATGTGATGAAGGTGGTGAGTATAAAAGTCATGTATTTCAAACATATCTTGCCACTCATGGCATTTCCCAAAGATTTTCGTGTCCAAAACATCCTGAACAAAATGGTATTGCCGAAAGAAAACATCGTCACATTGTTGAGACTAGTATTGTCATGCTTTCTCATGCACATATTCCAAATAAATATTGGGTGGATGCTTGTTTAACAGCTACTTATTTAATTAATAGGTTGCCAAGTCACAAGTCTCCCTATGAACAATTGTATGCCAAAATCCCAAAATATGAAACTCTTAAAGTGTTTGGTTGTCAATGTTATCCCTGGTTAGTGCCTTACGCACAAAATAAACTCCAACAAAAGTCAAAACCATGTGTGTTTTTAGGTTACTCACTGAATCATCAAGGGTACAAATGCTTAGATTTGTCCACGAGACGAATATATTTGTCTCGCCATGTCCTATTCGATGAGGACACTTTTCCATTTAAGGAACTCACATCTTCCCTGGGGAGCGTTGGATACACAGGTAGTATGACTTCCCCTGACTTATTATTTACGTTTCCGCTTTTATCTCCATCACCACAGTCCACTTTGTTACTTCCTAGTCCGCCTTCACAGGTCCCGCCTTCACAGGTCCTACCCCAACCAAATCCTATCTCTTCTGATATTCCTCAGTCAAATAACCTCATCCCAACCTCTAGTTTACCTGCTCCTCGTGACCCACCATCCCCAATGCCTTTAGAATCCTCTAGGTCTACCAACTCATCTTCAAATGAGCAAGAGGCGGTACCACTTCCTGAACTGAACCAATCCGTGTCAGTTGATGATCACGGTCCTACTTCCTCCACCCAACAGTCTGTGCCACCCGCAAGAATGACTACTCGTTCACAATCTGGCATTCAAAAGCGTAATCCCAAATATGCTTTGCATGTTAATATTAATCATTCTCTTGTTGAACCAACCTGTTTTAGTCAGGCCATCAAGAATCAGGAATGGAGGAATGCTATGGTTCAAGAGTTCAATGCCTTACAGCGGTGTGGTACCTGGAAGCTTGTTCCGTATCATTCACGAATGAACTTGTTGCCTAACAAATGGGTTTTCAAGCTTAAACAACGTGCAGATGGCTCAATTGAATGACATAAGGCGAGGCTCGTTGCAAATGGCTTTCATCAGAAGCCTGGCATTGATTATACAGAAACTTTTAGTCCCGTGGTGAAGCACAATACTATAAGGCTTGTTCTTAGTCTTGCGGTTTCACATCGATGGCCCATCAGACAGTTGGATGTACAGAATGCGTTCTTGCATGGATTTTTGAATGAGGATGTGTATATGCGGCAACCGGCCGGTTTTGTTGATCCGCAGTATCCTAATTATGTTTGCAAATTGCAAAGGAGTATCTATGGCTTGAAACAAGCTCCTCGAGCTTGGTTTCATAGGTTCTCGGAATTTTTGCTTCAATTAGGGTTTCAAGCATCCACTTGTGATTATAGTTTGTTTGTTTATAATCACAGAGGTGTTTACTTGATTCTTTTGATATATGTGGACGATATTTTGTTGACAGGAAATAGCTCACGGCAAATGACTTGCTTAATCAAAAAGCTAGGAACTTTGTTTTCCATGAAGGATTTGGGTCCATTACATTATTTTCTCGGAGTTGAAGTTAAATACGTGGATGATCAGATGCATTTGAGTCAAGCTAAGTATGCGTTGGATTTGTTGTAGCGTACCAAATTCTTGGATGCCAAACCGATTTCCACTCCAGTTTCTTGTGGCCAGAAATTGAGTGCTTATGATGGTGAGGCACATGACAGTCCAGACTTATATCGAAGTGTTGTTGGCGCACTACAATATCTTACCATTACCAGACCCGATCTTTCGTATGCTGTGAACCAGGTCTGTCAGTTCATGCACTCTCCAAAGACTACACATTGGACGGCAGTCAAGAGGATCCTTCGTTATGTTAAGGCCACGTACAATCATGGTCTTCTGTACAAACCTGGTAATACACATCTCACGGCCTTTTCAGATGCTGATTATGCTGGGAATCCTGATACTCGGCATTCCACTGGAGGTTTCTGCATTTACTTAGGCTCCAATCTTGTGTCCTGGAGTCCTATCAACAAACTGTCTAAAACTGCGCTAAGAATACAATTTAGCTCGTACTAAAACCATGACCTCACGAATGCTTCTATTTATGTTTTTTTCATTCAAAGAAAAAAAATAAGCCTGCATGTCTAGCTACTTCAGCCAAAGTGGAATGGATACTGATTATTTCTTACCTCCGATCTTGTGCAAACAGAAAGAAGTAGCATTATTCGAAGGCTATATGTATTAAGTTTCCAAAACAAGTTTGTTCTCTGACTCCAGGATCTCATGTTCGTTTTCAGTTACCTTTTTTTTCGTATTGTTTCTGAATTTTCTGCACAAGTTGCCAAAAGAGCTGAGGCTTTAGTTGTCCAATCTGTGACTACTCCAGAACATAACACAAAAACCAGAGTTGAAACAGTATATATAGTATATCCTATAAGAAATTGACCATTCTAGTATGAATTCAAACATGCGGTGCCAAGATAAAAAACATCTGCCCCATGCTTAACTTGATACGATCGACATCCACAATCTAGGTTTGTTTTCAGTCATTCTCTCCCCTCCCTCTCGCTCGTGGTTAGTGGATGCGACGAGATGTGCATGTTCTTCCAAAAGTGTTTTTCAAAAAGTTTTGGAGAGTTGCCAGTCTGTATTTTCTGTTGGCAGCTGTTTTGTTTGTCACTTCATTGGCTTCTTGTACTCTAATAGTTTGATTTCTTCTTTGGTCTTTGTAGTGGGGGCAAGCATGACTAAGGAGGCAATGGAGGATTAGCATAGATATTTGCAGGTAAAACAAATAAATACTGTAGAATATTCTTGTCAATTAATTTCAGCTTGTGTGCTCTTCTTCCATATGTTATCTTATATTCATCATTGTTCAAAATTTTAGCTTCATTGCAGAAGAAAATTAGTTTTGTTCAAAATTGACTCCTCAGTTTAGAATTTCGTCTTCCGTCTTTGAAATTCCGTATGATTGTAAACCCCTTTCACTTTCCTGTTCTTTCTTTATATTCATTGCATAAAGTTTATATGTATGAAACCCGATAATTTCTTGTACGTTAATCCGATGATTGCTTCATATGTGGTGACAGTTTTCGTCTGTCCTCCCTAGTACAATACATAATCTGTAGCTTAGAGGAGTATGAAGAACTAGCTTCTGTCGAGTAAACCTACAAGCTAACGTTGAGTCATGCTACGATTGTTGGTGTAGCTTGCTGCCTTTTGGAATGAAGCTTACTAGCTAGGTCAGTTTCACCACCCATTGACCGGTTCTTCTTCTTTGCCACAATTCAGTGCTTGTGTTGGGACGTGGAAGAATTCATGGAATGAAGAAGACGGTTGAGCTTGAGATGAGTGTGCAGTCCGAGATGCAAGTGTGCTATAAACACCAGATTTAACATTTGGAACACCGGCTTTCTCCTCGTCACCAACGGTGCATCAAGCATGTAAGCGACTGCAAGTTTGAAGATTTATGTTATTATTAAACCGCATTGTATTTGTAGCATGTATTAAGCGTACAAAGAAAGTAGGTATTTTGATTACTGAACCAGCTAGGAATTTCACATATTGAAAATGAGAGAGAGAGAGAGAGAGAGTAATCAATCGTCTTAACAATTTTTTTTTTTAGTGGAGCGATAGCGTTAGTTAAACGTTATATTAGTTACTGATTGAGTTTGAACTCACGCTATCATGTAAGGGCACAATACATTTCCACTAATGTTGTAAAGGGCCAACAAGTTTTGTTCATCTTTAATGACGTCAACAATTTGAAATTTTGGATAGTTGCCTAGTTGAAAGATTTGAAAGCAAATTAATATATATTCAGACTGGGCTGTGAAGAAGGTAGTGGAGGTCAAATTTGGGCTTTAACCCAATTGCCATATTTTGTTCAGAATTTTTTTTTTTGCTGGATTTGCAATGGTTATGTATGGGGCTTTTTGTTTGTTTGTTGGGCTAAATGTCATTTTTCCTTAGTTAATTTATACTTGAAACTTAAACTTTGAGATTTCTTTCAATACTCAAAAATAAACATGTACGCATTTTCGTTCGATTTTAGTGTAGGTCTTTGAATATATATGTTTAGACTTGATATAATATGAATAGAAAGACCAACACTCTTCCATTACTGTTAAAGGACACCCAACATTTTTGTTCGATTCTAGATTCCTCTTTATTTATAAATAAGAAGTCTTAAATTCAATTCTCTTCAAAGATAAATTTGAACCATATTATTAGGGTGGCCTAATGTGTGGCTTAACCCTTCTTTTTTTATTTCTTTATTTTTTAAGCAAATAATATTATCTACACTAAAGGGAAGGAGGTGGGCTTAACCTCACAATAGGTTAACAATAATGTAGTTCAAATTCGCATTTAGCGAGAATCAAACCTAAAACCTCTCACTTACAAGTGAAGAGGAATATCACTAGACTGTAATGGATTGGTAGGGATCTAAGGATTCCATTGGAGATGTCCTAAAGAGGATATGGTACCAGTACACACAAAACTCTTAATAATAATTCTCATCCAAAGAATTTAAAGAACCATCATTGTTCAATTTGAGCCTCAATCTTCTTAATTTTTTCATAATTTGTGTTGAATTCCAGTTGCACTCGAATCCGATTTGACACAAATAAGTCAATTGTTTGAAATAACAATTTTAAACTTTTACTTAACATGGCACTATCGAAAATTTCAATAGGACTGTAATTGCTGACATGATTCACCAAAAATGTGTAACTAACAACTTTTTCATCACACAAATCGCATTAAACGTAATATGTCACCACAATGAACCAAAAAAAGGGCGAAAGAAAAAAAGTGTTGCAAGAGTTTTTCTAATCAAATTCCCTATATTTGATAGTTTCTAATCTCAAAATATTTAATTAAATTCATTCTTGGTACTGTCAAAAATTTTGTTTTACTAAATATTTATTGTTTTCAACAATCTTAAAAGGAACCATGGGATAGCATCAATCTAATGATCCATTCAACTAAGAAATGGAATGGAGAGAAAATGTATGTCATCTCATATTTTTAGCATAATGTTTTATAATGTTGTTATAAAAATTAACGTTATGTTTTATAATATTGTTATAAAAATTAACGTTAACCTATGAGATGACAGAAAATTCATGAAGAGTCTCACTTTTGAGAGAGTCCCTTTAACATTCCTCATAGAATGGATCCAACCAGAGGATGTTGGTGTTGGATTTGGCATTAAATCAACATGCCTAAACTAAAAAAAGAATCAAACAAGGATTAGGATATCTTGGACGCAAAGTATTTGGATTTGTGTTTCCTAGTGGGTTTGGGATTTGGTTTTAGTATAGGATTTGATTTCCTATATTCTAGGGACTTTGTGTAAACCTATGACATCTATTAGTATAAATAGATGGATGTGGGATAGAGTTTTGTGTGTGAAAGTTGTGAGAGGCATAAGCTTGTACTTGAGAACACTTTGTGTTTATGAGTTCTCTTGTATTTATTGGTAATCTAAAGCTTCCGTTGTTAGAGAGGTACTCCTGTATTGGAGGAACTCTGAAATCATTGTGTTTTGTTTATTGCATGATTGGTTTTTGGTTTAGTTTACAACAAGAGGTATCAAGAGCTTAGGTTCTTATGTGGGTTGTGACTATCAAGCAATGATGAAGACTAGTGATTCCACCAGTAGTGATAATGTTGAAGAAAAGTTTGGCACTAGTGGAACCAAGACGACGGTTCAGAGTGCTAGGTTTGAAATTGGGAAATTTGATCGAATGAACAGCTTTGCTATGTGGCAGTGTGAGGTTCGAGATGTCCTAATACAACAAGGTTTGGTTGTGTTAGGAGACATGTCATTTTTTATGAAAAAAGGAAGAATGGGAAAGATTGAATGCTAATGCATGTTCCACAATTCGTCTATGCTTGGGAAAGCAACCGAAGTATGGTGTGATGATCATAATTTCTGCGAAGGAATTGTGGGCTGCATTGGAAACAAAATATAGGAAGAAGAGTGCAGAGAATCGACTGCATCTCAAGAGCAAGTTGTATAGGTTCCAGTACAAATAGGGCACGAAGATGATTGGTCATCTAGAAGAGTTTAACAAGCTTCTAGCTGAACTAGCAAATCTTGAAGAGATAATTCAAGATGAAGACAAGGCCTTGATCCTGATGAACTCATTGCTTGAATCCTATAAGCCTTTCATGACTACTTGGATTTATGGCAAGGAGACAATTAAGTATAATGAAATCTTAAGTGCTCTTATGAATCATGAGGTAAGACACCTTGACAAGCAAGAAAAGAATAACTCTGAAGCTTTGATGGTGAAAGGGAGATTGAAAAAAAAAAAGGTTCGTACATGAAAAATAGTAGGTCTCATACAAGAGGAGTCTCAAAGAATAGGAAGTTCTTGGACAAAGATGAGTGTGTTTTTTGTCATGAAAAAGGACACTGGAAGAAAGACTGCCCTAAAATCAAAGAAAAAACTAGAAAGAAGAAGGATGATTCTGTAGTGAATATGGCTGAAGTCAAGGATGAAGAATTTGTCTATGCCCTAACTGCATCGAGCACTGTGGATTATATGAAAGAGTGGGTGATCGACACAGGTTGTACCCATAACATGACTTCTTAAAGGCATTGGTTTTCAAGTTTCAAAGTTATGAATAGAACTATGTATATAGGAGATGATAACCCATGTACAACTCAAGGAATTGGAAGCATCATGATGGTGTGATTCGAGAATTGCATGGTGTAAGCTACGTCCCAAATCTAAAGAAAAATTTGATCTCATTAGGCACTCTCGAGTCACAAGGCTACAAATTTTACTCTAATAACAATGTGCTCAAAGTTGCTAAATGAGCACTTGTCATAATGAAAAGGGCCTCGAAATGGCTTACTTTATATGCTACAAGGAAAGACTTTGGAAAATGGAATGGAGATGGTAGTTAATGAAGTGCAAAGTGATAAAAGTGACTTGTCTGCATTATGGAAAATAAGGTTAGGACATGTAGGAGAAAAAACATTGCAAGGATTGATCAAGCAAGGGTGTTTAAAAAGAGCAAAAACTGGAAAGATAGAGTTCTGTGAGCACTGTGTTCTTGGCAAACAAACAAAGGTGAATTTTGGCTCAGCTGTTAATCAAACGAAAGGGATTTTGGACTATGTTCACTCTGATGTTTGGGGGCCTGCAAAGAATGCTTCTTTAGGTGGAAAATGATGGTTTGTATCTTTTATTGATGACTACTCTCACAGATCATGGATATATATGATGAAACGAAATGAGAGGTTCTTGACATCTTCCTAGAATGGAAGAACATGGTGCAAAACAAGACTGGAAAGAAGATTAAGATACTGAGAAGTGACAATAGAGGGGATTATACCTCTGATCCTTTCTTCAAAATGTGTAAAAAGGAAAGGATTACTCGGCATTTTAGTGTTAGACATACTCCACAACAGAATAGGATTGCAGAGAAACTAAATAGGACCTTGCTCGAGAAAGTTCGTTGCATGCTATCTCATGCCAAAGAGATTTTGGGCAGAAGCTTTGAGCTATGAATGTCATGTGCTTAATCGACTACCATAAAAAATATTGGAGGGTAGAATACCCATTGAAGTGTGGTCTAGAGAACCAGCTCAGGACTACGATAAGCTACAAGTGTTTGGATGCAATGCCTACTTTCATGTGAAGGAAAACAAATTGGATCCACGAGCCAATAAAGCTGTCTTTATGGGATTCAATAGTGGTGTGAAAGGCTTCAGACTTTGGTGTCCTGAGTTGAACAAGATTATAGTAAGTAGAGATGTGACATTCGATGAAAGTCATATGAAATTGAAGGAAGATGTTCAAATGGTGGAGCTTAGGGAACAAGTAATTGTGAATTCACAACTAAGTAAGGAAGTTGTGGAAGAAGAAAGACAATGTGATCAACTTGAACATGAAGAAAGTGATCAACAAGAAGAAATACCATCAAAAGAACTAAAGATACAAGATTATTGCATAGCCAAAAGGAAGGGGAAAAGATACATGTCCCTACCTGCGAGATATAAAGATTGCATGGCCTACATGGTATATGCATTGCCAATAATTGAGGCTGAAATTCCC